CTTACCATTGAACTGCAAACAGCGTGTGTTAACTCCCTCGAAGGATCCCGACCATATCCTGGCACATTCACTCGCGAAACGCAAAATTGGTGAGTCTACAATTGATTTCTCAGAAGATTCAACCCACCCGGGATCCACATCCCAGTGGTCTCAAACCTAGGTCTCCTCTTCCAAGAAAGCAATTAGGGCCTTATGGCTCGAGGAATACAACGATAACGTAAATTACCGAATATTTCTAGAGATACTCGTCCCTAGTTCAACCCACCAATCAACGGATATCAACGAATTTAGTCAATGAGTTGATCACGGCAATCAACGTAAATTAACTCCGATTAGTCTCTTATAGTTACTATCACTAACACTCTTTCATCACTAAATCGTTGTGGATGTCCCATTAGGCTGCAGTTACGGAACACTGAAATAAAAATATTATATTAGACTTTTAAAACACTAAACTATTTTCTTTAACATTTTGTAGTAGTATACTCTTATAAAATTTAAATAAATTGGTGATTTGATTCTCTTCAAATTATTTATTATCTTAATTTACTAAGCAATTACAAAAAAAATGGACTGTATTAATGCACTTGCTAACATTTCCAATAAATTCATGAATTTCTTTATGTAAATCGGTCATATATAATTTCGTAAAGTTTTCGTACAACTAGAGACATCTACGGATGAGTAGCCGAATAAACTTGAGTAAAGTATTTATTGGATGAAGAACTCTTTAAATAAAATTAAGTAAAATATTCATTTTGTGAAGAAATCTTCATCGTACTTAATTATTGACCCAATATTATTTCTTCCTACCGTTTTAATAAAAGTACATAACAAATAATTTCAATATCATCATGACACAAATGCAGTTCATATTAAAATATATTCATGGTTTCAGTATCAGGCATCTTATACCCCCAGTTGTTTCTATCACAGTTCACGTTAGACTCGTTAGATGTCAGCACCAACAAATAAGACTTTATCTCTTTCTAACACAAGGTTTAGTTGCTGTAACTCGCTGAGACTATGTTACTCGAACTTAACGTAAGAAAAATGTTTTACTGCAAACGACAAGATCATACTTCTCAGGATCATTTCTGTAGTAGGTCTTCCCATACTCTCTACTCAAATGTAGAGTTGTTGCAACCATGATGATGAGACATAGTCTCGTATCCTGAGCGTTTGGCAGATTTCTTGTGGTGGTTTTATATTACCGCAGAAGTCATCGATGATCGTTCACCTGCAATTTATTGTGGGTACGGGTACGAGGCAATCCGAGTGGTTGCTTCAAAAGCAAATCAACAGAAAATATAATGCGTTTTTCGTGGGCTGTCCCCATATATTCATTTTCCACAAAGGAATTGTTACGAGATTAAACTAAGACATTGACGGCGGTGTTATCTGGTGGTTGAAAGCAAAAACTTGGCGAAATAGATTTTAAACGGATAGATAACCGACAGCTGTTTTGGATAGTTCACCAGATAGTCGTTAGGGGTAAAACCCAGACCAGATCCAGGTGTAACGAAAAAGTGTTGTACATATTTGTGTACCGGTTACACACGTGTTTTGCCACAGATAATGAAAGTTAGCGGATAAACGGCAAAGGGCATCGAAAATTTTGGACTTGCCCCCAATAGTGTTATTAAAATTAAAACTAACTAACCCGTTCCTATTTTTATTGTATGGATGAGATGATGTAATCTACATATGTAGAATCCTCCTTCCTTGTTTGAAAGTCTTATGTATATTTAATATAAATAACATCAGGGGGAAAATATCTTAAAAAATTGTTTAAATTAGTATATTTCAAGAATATATTAAATTAGTATTAGTATTAGTTAATAACTCATTAAAATAAGCCAAAAAATTCCTATTAACATGTGCCCTAAAACGCACCCTTAGGAAGTTATATGCCCTTAAAAGGGCTCAAACAAAACTGTTTTTTTTTTCTGTTATTGACAAAACGGTCGCAAATAAATAGAAAAAAATTTATGGGTCCATAACTTTTTATGTTAAATAACATGGGCTACTACTAACATCGGCCCGTAATTTTTTTTATTTCAAATTTTTTACAATTTTCTCTACAGATTTATAAAATCTTAACAATTTTACGTAAAAAATATTATCTTTGTCCAAATCGATATTTCCAATGGTTTTCGAGTAAATTGAGTTTGAAAATTACTCTGCTTAGGCTTATTATTAGGCCAAAAATTACAAAAATCTGTTTACCATGGCAAATAAAAGACTGACGTTGCCACAACGCTTAACAATTTAAGTTATTGATAAACTGTCAATTGAGCTTTGCAGTGTTTAATTAGTAAAAGTGGTGAGTGGAAAATTTAAGTTTTGTTTGAGCATATAATTTCCTAAGGGTGCGTTTTAGGGCACATGTTAATAGGAACTTTTTGGCTTATTTTAATGAGTTATAAACGCAGCAGAAGTTTGGAACCCTATTTTAGAAACACCCTGTATAGTCAAGGGTGTATATTGATTCGGAGTAATTTGAATAGCGATATGAAGATGGCGCCACTTATATGTTACTTCTGTAATGTCGATCGCAGATGTTAAGTTTCCACCAGAGACGACTGAAAAGCATACTTACCTGGCGTAGGGGTTACCGTGATCAACAAGGCGGTTCCTTCAGGGTGAGGCCCTTCCATTGCACTACGGTCGGGCTGACCCCTGCGATTATCCCTAATGCGGATAACTCGGGCGCGTAATTTTTGGTAGTCGGGACTGCGTACGCGCTGTCCCGGTGCAAGTTAATAAAGCATAAAATTTAGTGATGTCAAATAGTTACTCTTTTTTAGTACTCAGAGTATTCGTTACTTTTATCTTGAGTACTAGTTACTTTGTATTCGTTACTGAGTACAGTTACATGTATAGTCCGGCCGGCACGATATGCGGCTTTTTTTCTACGCCGACTTCCCGCAAAAGTCAACCACATCCTCGAAATACCCTTCATTGTCAATATTAGCAAATAAACTTTTATCCATCGTGGCTACATCTGTTCCAAGTGAAGTGAACGTATATTCTCTAAGGCAGGTCAAGTAATAACAGAACGGCGCAATAATAGATTATTAAAATCCAAGTAAGTAAGCAAAATAATTTTTCTAAACTGCAACAATTTTGTGTTTATTATTCATAAAACTTTATAGTAGTAGGCATTCGCACAAAACAGTAAACAGTTTTGAATTGATAAATTACAATATTTATTTTGGATATTTATTTTTTCGTTATAGGTATTTTTATAAGACTAATTTCTATAAGACAAGAGTAGAATATGAAAATTTTTTGTGTTTAAAATAAATAAATTTAGAAAATAATTTTTTAGGTATTTAAATGTTAATAAATATATAAATAATTAAGTTTTGTATGTTCATATATTTTTTACGTTCTTCTGCAGCAAACTACGAATTAAATAATTACATTGATTAATTACTGATTAAATATATTTTACAGCTGTTTAATTAAATGTCAACAAAAAGGTATTTCATATCAAGTAACAATCCTATAGGTTAACGACTACGCGACTACTTTTTCCTTGCTATAATCGTCGACCGAGTACATGATAATTATTCCGAGACCCGATACAAAATATTGTATCTATGAGTATTAGACGCTTGAGTAAAATATAATACCAAATCTGAAATCCACGCGTTCAGTAAATATTCCGAAACGAGTCCGAGTATTACCGATTATCGTGATTACATGTATCGAAACTTGGAGAAGAATCTTTACTTAAAAAGTAATCAGAAGCGAATACTTTCTCATCGATTACTCAGTATTCGTTACTTATTCAAGTAACGGATAAAAAGTAACGAATAATAATTACAATATTGACATCACTAACATTTCCTATTAATAAACCTATTTCTTAAAACCTATTTCTCAGGTTCTACTACTCTCAAATTTATAAAAGAAAAAGGGCCCCAAATTACGGATATTTATTTTGAAAATAACACAAGGTGGAGGATATGGATGTGATTTAATTTTATTAGGTCAGCCTGGACGCCTCCAAATGGCTACAAAAAAATAGACCGGCTAGCATCACTAAACAACTGGGATCAGTGCCTAATTTACAGTGGTGGGGGCCTATTCTAGAAAAAAAAATCCTTTTTGGTAGGCTTCCCCCCTAAAAAAAATATTCTTATTGTATACGCTATCTCCCTCTAGTGGCAGCTCTTAGAATCATATCTTAATGGATAGAATTCAAATTTTAAGAATAAAGAATTGTATTTTCCAGAATAATTTTTCATTCTTGAAACTCCTGATAAATTTTTAGAAAAACAAAATGCTCCAGTGACGTGAATATGTTAAAAAAAATTGTTTAAACAATTTTCAAAGTAGAAAAATAGCAGGCCCTATATAATAAAAAAGATTTTAGATTAAGATCGTTTATGACAAAAGATTTACCAGGCGCTGAACGTTCACAAAAATCTTATGAAAGTATTTGTGCAGTGGACAAATTGAAGCCAGATGCCTCTGACCGCTGAGCTTCTGTCAGGCTACCAACCACATAACACTTTATGTGCTACCAACTGCGTTTACCATAATCATAATCGTCCTATCATTTGGTCTATATACCTAGGTGGTCTATGATTAGTAGCATGTCTGTGTATATTTGGTTGCCTGTCCGCTCCTGGGTAGTAGGACTAGTAGGTATTTAATATTTGTTGAGTTGTTTTTATGTTCATGCCAAGTTAAAAGACATTTAATACATTTTACCGTAAGGCCATGGAGACTAGTCTCCATGCGTAAGGCTCTCCGCATGCGTGTTTTTTCTAGAGCTAACTTTAATGAGATTATTTTTACGATTTGGATCGTTTTGCTACGTTTTACTTATCAGGAACATTTAACCTGACTGAGCTAACTTACCAGTATATTATTTTTATTAAGAATTTAGAAAAGTGCACTTACAAGGAGTCTTGAAGCAAAGTGAACTAGCTTTCACTAGACACGATTGATATAAGTTTGGTATTTTAATTTTATGTATTCTGTTGACATTGACACCTAAGGCAACACTATTTTCATGTCATTATTCTATGGTTTCATGAGTGATATCGATTAGTTAAAAATTGTTGTAGTGATTAAAGAACAAGAACAGTGACCTGGTATTTTTCTCATTTTCCAAGTATTTTCTTTTTAGCCACAAAGTCATATTGAGACCAGTCAGAAAAATCACTTCAGCAATCTCAAGTTTCTCAATTACTCTGGTCTCAAATACGTTGGACAATAATTTGATTTGAGCCCTATTTAGACTTGTTATGATGTTTTTGCAGTGAACGAACGTTAATGACTCAGAACAAGTTAGTTGAGGTTAGAATTTACCTTCATGTTATTGATCATTTCCCATACAAAAATCTTTAGTATCCCCGAGACATTTCCAAATTCTGTTGTAAACAGAAGGAAACGAATTTAACTTAGTTTTTCTTTTCAGTCAGTTATGGATCTGCATACCAAGCAGAGACAATTTTCTGGTCAACTCTACAAGTATACGAATGTAATGAAAGGCTGGCAGTACCGATATTTCTTAGTAGATGCAAATGCAGGTCTGCTGCATTACTATTTATGCGAAGGGGAGAAGCCCGATGGGACAGTGCCTAGGGGGTCGGTTCACCTTGCCGGGGCTGTTATATGTCCCAGCGACGAGGATTCAAAGACGTTTACGGTGAATTGTGCTTCGGGCGATATGTTGAAACTCCGCGCAGCTGATGCCAGGGCTAGGCAGGAGTGGGTGAACGGACTGCGGGCTGTGGCAGAGTCTCATACCAAGGTATTTAATATGTTATTATGTCAATGAGATTTAAAAAATTGCACACACAGGCAACTAGTACTTTCCGGAACTAGTTTTTATGAATTTATTTTTAGAAGAAATTATTTAAACTGTTGTTTAAACATTTGTAATGGAAAAAACAGTGATAGGTAAATACGAACTTAATTTCAAGGTCGTCATATTATCTGTTGATGCTGTTAACTGAGATTATAGGATTTTTGTAAACAGGATTTTGCTTTGATCAGTTTTTAATTAGTTGTGTAAAAACTTGGTATTTCGTGTCCAGATAATTAAAGAATGTGTTTTTTTAGTCACGGCAAGGTCAGTTTTATTGTTATTAATACAGTTTTCATTATTATTGTTATTACGAAATTATTATTGCTTTCCAAAAATATATTGTTTATCATACTTAGCCATGACTAAAAATAAATGCACTATTAAATAAAACCTGGTGCCATTGTTGTGTATAGCTGGCTGTGGAAAAAAACAAATTGGTGAAGTAAATAAAAACTTTTCACTTTCTTCTTCTTATTTAACTCGGTCATGGCTAACTATGATTTTTGTTTCAAAAACTAATCCGTACGTCAAAAGACTGTAGATTTAGCAAAAGCACCACACCGAATTCAATAGATTTCCAATAGGGCTATACATGTAACGTTAACAGTGCTGTATTGTACTTGTAGGCCATAAGCGCCAACAGCCCCCCGCTACCCCCGAGGGAGCACCTGGCCGTCCTCGACGCGCTCGGCTGTGTCCGTTCTCAGCTGCAACAGACGGAACAGGCCGACTCGGCCCTGTGCCGAACGATCGAATCGGCGGGCAGCAAGTTCTTCGTCGACCCGAACCTGCTGCTGCTGAAGGCGACCTCCGCCGCTTCCCTGCACTGCCTCACGCAGTGCATGAACATCCTGCAGCGGAACCAGCACGCGCAACAGGCAAGAACAGGGTTTGTTATAGATGATGATTAATACATTCTTCTTAGGCAATGTCTCGATGTATTTAGATGTATCTTGAATATACGTAGATGTTGCTTAAAATAACAATAGGTAGAGGAATCTGTGTCTCCACTAATACTATCTATCCCCTTCGGGCCAGTTAACGACGGGACTCGGGTATTTCCAAGGGTCGCTCTGCGAAATGTCGGTTGATTTTGTTGGTGTCTTAGCCAGCGCACGTCACGTCGGTTGTAATAAAAAATTCAGTATAAAGTTGTTAGGAAAGATTTTTTTTTTAATACTGAGATTAGTGAGACTATTTTCGAGACATTTTAAATAAACCGCCACAAGAGTCATCTCCCAGTTGTCTCCGATAGTTTTCCACGCACCGAAAAAGGATAAAAGTTGTAGTAAACTTTTTAGATTTTCTAAAATCTAAATCGGGAAGACAGTTGAGCATCGCGTTACAGATATACAGGCCTAATATGCTTTTTTTAAAAGCAATATCATGTATATATTTTGATAGAGCACTTTCTTGCAATTACAGTCGTATAATAAATTCAATGGGTACTATCTCTAATAATAAGGGAGATACAGGTGGTCAAAAAAATGTGCCATAACCGGTAAAGCCTAGAATTATTAAGGAATTTCGTTTTCATTTCGATTTTTTGGTCAAAGTTTGGTAACAAATGAGTGACTGACGAAAGTATTTTACACCTTACACTCATGGCACATTCTCTCGGCTATATCTCCCATATTATTAGAGATCCATTGAACCTTATGTCACTATAATCATGAGAAAATTTATCCAATGCTGGGAGATGTAAAAATATACATTGAAAATTAAATGTTATGAAAAACAACGAGGGCTTACCACATATCACCCTGTACGACGTTCAGATTTTCTACCACAGAAAAAAAATTTGATGCTATTTAAGAAAAATTAAAAACAATTGAAGAAACGTTGAAAATTCGTGATATATCCTGAAATAATTGTAATTAATGTAATTAATTTTATTAAATATATTAATTAATTAATTACTTAAATCATTAATTGATTAATTAATTAATTAGGGCAAAAAAATCTTGTTTTTTAAATATCTCGACAATATCTACGTCACTTTTCTGATTGAGGAAATATGATTCTTTACCATTTTACTGTGTTGTATTGTTAAGTGGCAAGAAATTAACAATTCGACGGACATTTTGTAAGATCCATTAACAGGGTGTCCCAAAATTCATGCAACAAAATTTAGGGGACCCGTATTTTTACTTTTTGCCAACTGGCCCCCTCTTTCGGAGTTACAGCCCCCTGAAATCTGCTCCTAAGAAGTCTTTTTTATATCTCAAAACCATGTTGTACGAGAATCGCTAAATTTGGTACACAAGGGTTTTATGACGTGGAATCTCACAATGCTACATTTTTTGGCGAGAAACTCCCTTAAGACACTTTTACGTGGGCCCCCTTGTCTTTGGAACTAGAAAAATTTGCTTGCAAATTTGATTTTTTTTTAAATTATTAGTTAGCTAGAAAGCCATTGAATTTAGAAACTTTTTGTCTCTTGATATTTTTTTCGTAAAACGCAATGTTTTTGAGGAAAATGGCGAATCACGATATGCATTCGTTCACATTTTGTGTATAAAGAGACAAAAAGTATCTAAATTCAATGGCTTTCTAGTGGACTAATAATTTTTAAGAAATTTAAATATGTGATCAAATTTTTTTGGCTCCAAAGACAAGTGGGCCCACGATAAATTGTCTTAAGGGGGTTTCCCTCCAAAAAATGTAGCACCATCAGATTCCACATGTCATAAAACCCTGTGTACTAGGGGGCCAATTGGCAAAAATAAAAAATAAATTTGTCTTAAGAATCTGTGACCAAATTTTGTTGCATTAATTTCGGGACACCCTGTGTATCCACAAATAATGTATCAAACACATATCAGTATTTCCGGTCCTGTTCATTTTTAACTGGCCACATTTATAGTATTAGCAAAGGCCGTTTTTTTTTTCAAGATGCAGTGAACTCTAAAGAATTATTCCCATTTTTTAATTATTTTAATTTTATCAAAACAAGTTTGGGCTGCATCTTGAAAATAATTACAAAAACTGGATGTATCAAATAATTAACGGATCTTGATTGTATCGTAAAAAAAAGGTCGGTATAAACCTACGTTTCCACGTGATTCTAAATTCTTCCCTTAAAATCGTATCGTTACCACACAAAATCGGATATTGGAATGCCAATTTTTCGTTTCCGTTATCTTATTTCATTTGATTTGATACAACTAGTTACTTGGTAGATGGGTTTAGACTGTTAGTGATTAAACTGGACCACGAGGCATTAGAACAAATAACAGATGTGTTAGATGTTATTTTTTTAAACGGATACTAGTGTATATGTACGGGGTAAAAAGATAATAAGTAAATGATATTCTGATATTTTAATAACGCTTTGAGAGAAATGTACAAATTCGCTTTTTTTATGAATAAGTTTAAATTGGGAAAAGGTGTAATTACAATGACTTCGTACTTACCGGAGATGTTAAAAAGATGTTGATTCGTTTACCTCGCAAAAAAGACAGATTTCTCTTCTGTACTGTATGTAGAGATGGGCGCTTTTCGGAAAAGTGTGTCACGGACATGTCCGTTGGACTTGTCGTTGAAATGTCCGGACATGTTAGGAAAAGTACTTTTGACCTTGAATCTAAAAAGGCACCTATCAGTGACATCATGTCTTCACAGGTCACTGCTTGAGGATACACAAAGCAAAATATTACTTTTATTCTAATGAATACCTATGTGTCAATATATTTTACTTATTACTTACCTTTAGACTCTTTTATAAACTGGTTTCTAATTTTCCCCGGACAGCCAATACACTTATTTAAATGTTTTTCCATCCTACTGGAATTCTTAAAAATTGTTTTTGAGAAGTTATATTTTTAATGATTTTTACTAAATTCAGAAAAATATAACCAAACTATTTGTGTATTAAATATTAAATTAAGAATCAACTGATTACTATTTACTTATCGTAACTTTGCCAAAAATAATAAAATATGGACATATAAAAGAGGTTATATTACATTATATTATATTAAAATTACAAGAAAATAGCTAACTATCTTTAATTTTATATGTACCAACCTCAAAATTTTTTTGCGGGAACAACAAATAATTCCGCGCATGCGCATACAACTCTTAAATCTTGAAAAGTGTCCTCAAGACATGTCCACTTTTCACGACATGTCCAATGGACATGTCCAGCTGACATGTCGGCGGCACATCTCTAACTGTAGGCATGAAGCGTTTGTCATTTATTTAGTTAAGTATCATTGCCAACACAAATACCATTTCGTTTAGTTCATTTTGGGGCATTCTTCGTAATGTAATGGTTAATTTGCTATAAGTGCTTCGATTGACGCAATGCTTAACTTTTTTTATTTATTTTGCCGTTGCAGCATTGTAATTACATTTTTTTTAACTTACTACTATTGTTATTCCAGAATGTGTAATTTCGTAAATATTTCATAGAAATTATTTGCAATAAACTGGAAATTATGAGACTGTATATAGTTATCGAGTTATTACATTCGTCGTATTGTATTTGCACCTTGGAGTGTTTTTTTAAAAATCGTCGAAGCCATATCTTTAGTAATACGAGTAAAATTAATTAATGACACGTAAGCATATGCTTCACCTCACACGAAAAGGTCCAAAGTCGGGTATAGTAGCATTTCACTTGCAATAGTTGATCGTGCTTTTTTAAAAAAGTGCTCCACCATTGCTAATTGCTTGTTATTTGTTAGGAAAAAGTATCAAATGTTCTTGAATTTCCCGGGTAAGAAAGTAAGGAAAATGAAACTAAAAAAATGGAATAGTTTGTGATTACCAAGACTGCAGGCTAGGAGCAGCTCTTTAGGTGAATTTTAAGAAGATTGTAGCTTAATTTGCCTTATTTATTGTAAATATTTTGTATATATGATTTTAACTGTAGCACATAACATTAATGGAAATATACTGACTGCGATAACGGCTTTGTTCATTTCCACTGACCTTTTGTCCCTTATTTAACAGAAAAAGCGCTGGATATATCCTGTAACAAAAAAAAAGATGATAGTAGGCCATCTGTGCCTACAAGAGCATAATTGCCAATTAGGTACAAAAAAAAAGTACCTACCCATCAGTTGAATAAGTATACCAAGGTAAGAGGAAATTTGTAAGGATAATCTAGTTTTACCAAAACCTACATATCTACTCTCTGTTTTATATTTAACAATTTTTGGAACTCTCTAAAATGATACGCCCATGGAACCTACATATCTACTCTCTATTTTTATTTAACAATTTTTGGAACTCTCTAAAATGATACGCCCATATCTACTCTTTATTTTATATTTAACAATTTTTGGAACCCTCTAAAATGGTACGCCCATGGAACCGCATTCCCCGCACGTTTTATCTGTCGGGCAGATCCGTTTGTCGAGAACGAGTCACCACTGCCTACTATTTTGCCAGTGGAGTTTAAGTATCAAATAATTCATTGATTATCAAAAATATTATTTAAAATTATATACTTACATACTTTTTATATTATCACCAATTAAAAAAATAATAGTAAAAGAATTTTAACTGTTGCCAAAAATACTATAACTACTTGCATATATTCAATTTTTTTTATAATCAATATACTGATGATTTTAGATTTCGCCTTGACCTTAATAAGTGTCAAGGTCAACTTGAAACTATTAAATGAAACACCTCATTTTTATGCCAGTAATCGATAGTCAAACTCATTTTTCTTATTGAAAAATTAGATGGTGACCTCCATGAATTTAACCTTCACCACAAAATGCAAGGTCAAATCAAGTTCAATTTATTATCAAATGGAATACACGATTTTTTATGCCAGCAATAGATACAGTGACAAATTTTATGTCGGAATCTGGGACTACATAATTTTTCCAGCATGCCCTTATAGGTCAATTGAAGGTCAAACTCACTATCCACAAAAAGTAATGGATGTAATAACGTAATAGGAATTAAAAGACGTACTCGACTGAAACTACTAACATGATCTTTACAACAATTCTGAAATTTAACACTGCTAAGTTGCTAATTAAAATTTGATAAAAGGTTATCCAGAAGGTTGATATCTATTGTTCTTGTCAGGTCCAATCCAAGGTCACCATCTAACGTGTTACTCGAAATCCCACAAATTTTGCTTAAACATTTTTGTCGAGTTATTTAGAGAAAAACAAGTTTAACTTTCAAATGACTTGGAAGAGCATATTGAAAAGTTACCTGACCTTGAAACTTAAAGGCAAGGTCAAACCCAAGGTCGGCATCCTACAACGTTTGTCTGAAACTCTGTGGACTCGATACTGAAAAATTATCAGGGCATTGGGTGTCGGCGACACCCTGTACATCCGCCTCATTAATTATAGATTCCCTTGCGCTTGTGCGAAAAGGTTCACAAATAAAAACGATCACGATAACGCGATAAACCTATACTACGAGCTAATCACGCTATGCAGAGCAGATAAAATGTATTGTTTGCAACTAATTGTGTACATATTGAATATTTCATAAATGAAATAAGTACAGTCGTAACTGTGAGCGATAAAAGTGATAAGCGGTCGTAATAGAACGTTGGAGATACATATATAATTCTTATTTTACAAAGTACCTACATACATAGATATTTAATTATGGATGATTATTATAATCGTCAGCAAGTACATAAGGGTCGACGAAACCAGAAAGAAAATGTCATACCCCCTGAAAGGAACCCACAAAATTGGAGTTATATAATTTCAGACGAAGAAGCGCTGAAAATTCATGGCTTGAACGGTGAATATAGTGGTTACTCTACCGACAGCGACAGCGGAAAAAGCAGTTTCGATGAGGAGTATTACCAAAACAAACCCCAACCCCAGCAAATAAATTGCATGAATACTGTGACTATTAAACGATCGAATTCCACAGATGGGCGGCTTCAAACGAAGCAGGATTGTGTGCACAACAATCACGACACAGAAATGAAGAAAGGTTAAGTTTGTTTTGCTCATATATGTTTATGTTTTATTTGGCCATATGTGTGGAGTCCAAATGAATAGGTGTTTTTCTCAGGGTTGACAGTTGTCACGTTCTCAGTCTCACGTTGTCACCATAGGCAACATTGTAACCTCAATTGTTACGGGGATCCCCTTTCGTCAGTTTTTCAATTGTACACTAGATGGCGCTAGAACATTTAAAATGTCGGAATTAAATGGGATCAACAATCAATTTATGTTTGCAGTTTTTTAACTAATTGTGGTAGATTCGTTAAGTTTTAGAATTTCATTAATCTTTTAAAAACTCCTAATGATTGTAAATAATTGTTTTCCATACTTAAGTTTACATATAGCATATACAGCAAAATAGAAAACGAAAAAAACACCAAGTCTGCAAAAAATTGAGGATTTATAAAAAATTTTAGTTTTTTATAAGAAAAAAAAATTTCAAAATTGTTAATCGAGAAATTTTCGTATTTTTTGAAAATTTAAAAAAGAAACTGAGGATAGGTCCAGATAATTTTGATCTATTTTTTTTTCAAAAAGTACATTTAAAAACAAAAAGTTTGAAAAAACGTCCTGATAACTCAATTTTGAAAAAGTTATGGTTATTAAAAAAAAAGGAATTTTTTTAAAAAATTCCTTTTTTTGTTGGGTGAAAAAATTTGAAAATATTTTCAGAGGGGTTTTCAATGGATTTGAAAACAATAAAAAAGTTTCAGCCAAATCGAAAGGGCTCAAGGTTAAAAGTGGTCGATTTGGCATGGAATGTCCCTTATATAATTTTCAAAACAGAATAACAGTTAATTAATAAGAGTTTTTCTAATTTTTCAGATCTTTCTAGCGTGTTGGTCAGTCGCAAACGTACAGCCAGTTCATCATCATTCGAAAAAAAAAGTTATGAACAGAGTATACCATATCATCCAGCATCATTTAAAAACTTTCAAACAGTAACTCCACATGTCGATCCACATTTAAATACATTTTTAGTAAACGAAAATAATTTTCACAATGTAAGAGGTATAAATTACCAGTCTTCTACTACAAATCAGTTTACGCATGTACAGGCTTTGAAAAATGTACAATCAACTAGGACTGAAGATAACCGCCAGGCATTTGAAAATTTCTCTAGAACTGTTAGACAAAATTATCACCCTAGAGTTTCAACATATCAACCCATTAATTTTCAAAAGGAAATATTACCTAACAGAACCGTCGGAGCCCCTGAACACGCTTCTACCGAAAGTAGACCTCAGGAAAATATAAGAGCGAACAATCATAACATACCACAAACTTCAGGTCAAACAACAAGAAATATAACTAACTTGCCACAAACAACAAGAAATGTAACTAATGTGACACCTACACACAACTACGTACGAAGGACGGCACCAAATCGCAACCAGCCTTCAACTTCAAATGCATCTGGTCTTCCAAGCGTAATTACAAACGTTCCAAGTTCAAGTTTTAGAATGAATAAAAACAATTCTTTACCATCTCGCAACGTGACTAACACTTTAACACCGCAGAATGTGCAATCTTCGGCAAATTACAATTCGAATTTGTCGGCTCACAGAGACTTGCTTGACAGAGAAGGCAATACCCATGAAGGAGGTAGAATTTCTGAAGATACCTCGGAAAGAGTTGTGTTGTGCGATGACTCGAACGACAGCTTTTACGGCGGATGTATAGATTTTATATGTTGCAGAAAATGCTAATCATATCGATATCTATTCGATCAGCAAATGTTCTACGTTTAAAGTGTGATACTTCTGCTATAAAGGTTGTTTATTTCTTTAAAAGGGCACTCCTGTAGCTTTAAAGGGATTATCTGATTGAATTTGTTTTAACAGAGCATGTTTGTTCATATTTGGAAATGACACGATTACGATTTCAGCCATATAAAGTCTAAGCGTGGTCTATCTGTAATAGTAAGAGAGACGAGAGTTATTAAAAAAAGGGTGCATCATTTAATCTATTTTCTAACAATTTAGCCGTGTGAATATTTTCTTGATTGGATAAACTTGTTATTCCAAGCAGTCTCAGAAAAAAATGTACCTGGGATTCACATCTGGTGGTTAAGGAGGCCATGATATGGCTCCACCTGTTCCAATCCACCTCCCAGGGAATTTTTCACTGAGGGAATTTCTCGCTTACATTCCGTGGAGCACCATTACGTGGGATCCATACTATGGCACCTTAGACCGCCAGATCTGAATCCCATGGACTTATTTTTCTGGGGCTATCTGACACAGGAGATACATATTGGAATGCATTTTGTGACATGCCGCTATATCTCGTTTTCTAATACATTTATCAGCTTTTAATAAATTTAAATAATGTATTTTTTTAATAAATCGATAAAGAAGGCCTTTTGGAAAATTTTCCAATTTTAAAGTTGAACTTTCAGCACGATCTTTTGGATCAATGGAATTGCCGTAACTATAAATTATCAAAAATATACATGTTTCTTTTAATAAAACTTCCTATGTAAGTGAAAATTTGGGATGAATTCACTTTTAACAGAAAGACTAGTTATCTTTAACTCTGGATATCAAATTTGACTTTAATTAGACAATTCTTATAAAGGGGGGGGGAGGCGTTTAAGGGAAAACACCCTGTAGAATACCAAAAGTACAATATATAAGTAGCTGATTCTAATGTGATAACATATTTAAAAAATTTTCATATTAATATATACTTTTTATTTGTAGATTTTTATTTTAGTGTATACTTTTTATTAGCGTTCTTTATTTTAGTGTATATTTTTTATTAGTGTTTTTTTATTTTAGTGTATACTTTTTATTAGTGTAAGAGTTTTATTTTAGTGTATACTTTTTATTTGTTAAGATTTTTATTTTAGTCTATATTTTTATATTTCTGATATATTTAATAAATATCCCCTAATCTATCTAATGCCTGAAAAAAGAAGAGAAAAAAAATATACAAATTAAATTTTTTTTATTAAATTAAATACAAGATAATTAATATTAGAAAAAGCGTTACACTAAACTTAGTTCCTATTTCTTCGCGAAAGATATTTTCATGGCGTGAGTGGGCGTTATCTTGAAGCCTTGCAAGGCGTCTTTGGCTGCTCCAGACTGCATCTCGTTTTCAAATTCGACGAAAGCAATATCGTGACGATTAGGAACCAGTCGAACTTCCTTAAAGCCTGGAAATCTGGGAAAAAATATTACGTTAGCACAAAAAACTCTTTTTTCATTCAAAACGATAAACCGTTATTGCTCTTACAGGGTGTTAAGGATAAGAATGTCCCAATACTTCCTTGATTTATTCAACTAATAAAAATTTTTAACTATCGGCTATGTACTTACTGATTAAACAACATAGACAACATCATTTCACTCGTCTCGTCAGGTAGGTTGGTAAGGAAAAGAATCTGGTTGGGCGGCTGCTCGGCGTTGGCCCCACCGGGCACCCTGTTGGGGTCCTTGTTCTTCTTCTTCTTCTTGGGAGCTTCTTCGTCTTTCGCGGGGGGAGGCCTGATCTTCTTCGGTCTCTCTTGATACGTTCCCTTTATTTTCGATATAATGTCCGAGTCCTGTTTAGCGTACTGTATGCGCTGTAATCAGAGTTAATGCAAATTGTGCCTGGTGCAATGCACATGTATGGAAGGTTAAAACAACGATAATGTTCCGAGGGGAGGGTTCTTACCATTGGCTTGTCGTAAAAAGGAAAGCCCTGCATCGATCTCAAGGCGTTGGTGGAACTTTGGATCTCTTTGAAGATCACGAAAGCTTGTCCTCGCATTTTCAGAGTTTTTAACGCTACGATGTCCAGGATCTGGCCAAACTGTGAGAATATAGCGTATAATGATTTCTTTAATTCGTCTTTTTTCACTTTTTCGTTGAGGTTGTTTATGTAAATCGTGTTGTTGGGTCGGATATCCATCTAAAAAAGCCGGCAAGTTAGTGCAAATATATAAAATATATCAATACAATTTTATTCTCTAAACACTGTTTGTCTTAAAACTTACTTTATGTGAGGTTTTACACTGATATTTGAATGGTTTTAGAAAATTCTAATATATAGTCACACAACGCGTTCTTTACGTTAAAACAACGAACAACATAACCTTAAAATTCGTAAAATAAAAGTAACTAAATTTAAGGAATTTCCAGTTTTATAGTTGTTGACATGGAGGGTCCCCTGGTTGTTGAATTGAAAATTTATTTTTGTCATTGTGGATTTCTGTATAACCTCTTAAGAAAATTACACTATCGGCCGATAGGTGTCGCTGAATATGTAAGTAACGTACGAAGGTCCAGAAATTTTCTGTTTTGTAGTTACAGATAACGCCTTAGTTTTAGTTATATGACCAAATAATTAAGACTCGTGAAAAGGATAGGAAGAGCAGAATAATGAAAGCACGAGCGCCACCTCACAATGGGCCGGAAAAACACGCCATCGTTAGCACTATTTATGTATCGAAAACTGTAATACTAACTTGAACAGAAAAGCAATATTGGTATTACAACCTATAGAGTTCGCTGGAAAAATTAAAAATTTGGTGATATTACATGTATTCTTTCGTGCAGTAGCCGAATAAACTGATTAGTGATGGGCATAATCGACCAATTTTGATAATCGAGTTATCGGTAATCGAGTACTTCTAATAATCGAGTGATCACTCGAGATACGAGATATTGGTCGTTTTCAACCCAGCGGCGCACAAATATGTTTATATTAGTCATATTTTATACTTATAAGCGTAGCTAAAAAAAAAAAAAAGCTCACGCACTTCAAAACCTAACCACTTTTTCGTTTTATTCTAAAAAAAAGGTTACGCAATCAGTGACTATTTGCAGTATGCACTAACATTTTGGGGTACAACCGTAGGGTAATAATCACTCGAGTGGTGGGAGTAAACATCTCGAGATATCTCGAGTGATCTCAATAATCGAGTACCACTCGATTTTTCACTCGAAATCTCCCATCACTA